TAGCAGCAATATTGGTTATCCAATCAAACACAGTAGCCTGAACCTTGAAAAATATCTGTAAATGATCAAGACAAAAGGAGAAGTTTGTACAGAGAAAATGTTAGTTTCTCATGCATACATACCAAAAAGAAACAGAACAGTGTCTTATGTAACAGAAAAAGTATCCTTTCCTTGAAGGAACAAGGTATTTTGAGAGTAAATGAACCTGTTACAGTTCCATCTAGTGTTGAACTAAAAATAGTAAGAGGCTCTAAGGAAAGTATCAATTTTTCCCCTAAAAATGTTATACATAGTGATATATCTGCATTCACCAGCTTGATTTGTTCACCCCTGATACAGAGCTTCCAACGGAACTACACCTCTTAATACCCACACACGCTATGCATACACAAAACTTAGCTGCAATGCAATTAAGGGCATTCAAGTGAGCATCCAACCACCACAAACAGTAAAAATTCCAAGTTAATCATCTACATCCCTAGTCACCAATCAGTTGATGGCCATCAACTGGTCGATCACGAGGCATTCCGGGCCCCTCATTTCCCCCCACCCCCAAGAAGCCCCACTACCTACCTCGAGCACAATAGAGGTAGTGGTAGCTTCCCGCAGGGTGGACGGAAGCTGCGCGTCACTTCCGGGGATTCTGTAAATGCGTGGCTGCTTCATTGCCCCAAGTCTGTGGCGTGCCAGGAACTTACCAGGTGACCTCCTGGCCAGATCCCCACCAGCACCCTGTCCCCTGTCCAGACACCATCCAGCACCCTGCCCCCTCCTCCTGGCCAGATCCCCACCAGCACCCTGTCCCCTGTCCAGACACCATCCAGCACCCTGCCCCCTCCTCCTGGCCAGATCCCCACCAGCACCCTGTCCCCTGTCCAGACACCATCCAGCACCCTGCCCCCTCCTCCTGGCCAGATCCCCATCAGCACCCTGGCCAGACACCATCTAGCACCCTACTCCAGACCCCTGGCCAGACCCCCACCAGCACCCTGCCCAGACACCATCCAGCACCCTGCCTCCTGTCCAGACCCCCACCAGCACCCTGCTCTGCCCCCTGGCTCGCTGGGGGGTGTTTGGAGGAGATTTTTTTTTACATCTCACTTGTGTGGTCCCAACTGACTTTTCTGTGGGTCAGTGACCCCTGACTCAAAACAGGTTCCCTGCCCTTCTCAGAAATAAAGACAATGCAGAAACTTTGTGTGTTTGACACAGTATTTTATTTAAAAATGAAGCCTGGCCAACAAGCCCCCATCTGGCCACAGCATCAGAACACTCCTGCACTCCTCTTTTCCCCAGACCCTACATGTGATCCTATCATACACTGGAACCCCCTGCCCTGAGCCACTCACATACCCCAACCCAAATGTCTGAACTCTCATATCCACAAGCCTGTGGCTTTCTTAGTACCCTAACCCTACGTCTGACCCTAACACTGACCCACCTGAAGCCCCTTCCCCCACCCCGCCTCCCCTTCA